TCCTCTGTTGGTAAAGCAGAAGAGATTTCAGATATTGCTAATGCTGATATTCTCGATCATAAAATGGCTGAGCATCTTGAAAATAGCTTCAAAAAAAGTTTAAATAAAATACATGCTTTAAGGCAATACCATATAGCAGAGTGTTATGAGCATCCATCCGAATCTTTAACTGAGGAGTTTATCACAGAATATAGTAATTCCAACCATATGAAGTAGTTTAGAGCTTTCTGGAAATTACGTGATGCTGGTATTAATAATGAGATAGCTGTTGAAGCCATTACACATGAAGATTTTAGAGATGATAAACTCACAACTGTCATTCGAGCTGAGAAACATCAAATTTGTCTAGAATTATTGAAGATATGTATGCCTGTTAAAGATATTGATAATCGGAATAGATATATAGCTGATATTGTTAAATCGTGTTTAGAATCATCTGAGTCTATGAAATATCTTCAAGATTTAGTACCAAAAATAGCCTGAGTTTTTGATAATACAGACGCGTCTCATAGTGCTAAAAAATCTGGTTTAAAATCAGATAAAGTGAAACTTGGTTTATTAAATTCAGCACTTTTTGCAACTTATGGGATAAAGTTTAAAGCTACTAACAATAAATGAACCTATTATTATCTAGTAAGTACATTTGATAAAGAAAGTGCCTCAAAGTTGCTACCATACCAAACAGGTGAAGGACAATTCTATGAAAATAGTGAGGATTTACGTTATGGGTATAGTAAACTCTCATCTGATGAATTAGAGATTGCTTCTAGTTCTGATATACAGTTGCATCAAGAATTGTTTGATATCATTTAAAACAGGTATTTAAGATCTATAATATATCTTATAAAGGGGGTTTTTGTGATGCTTAAAATTGATACTTGTAAAAAAATCCATTATGAAGACTATTTTTGTGATACTTAAAATTGATATCTATAGTTATATAGTACCTACTTTTGGCAAAAGTGAGTATAATTACACATTAGCTTCTATTCTCTGTGCCTTTTGTCTCTTATACCAATTTCAAAAATAAACTCTCTTCGCATGCTTAGGACAGTATCCCGTTTCGGAATTGTTTCCTTTTTCGCAGATACCACAAGAAATTTTTGCTAAATTTTTTGCCATATTTTTTTCATATAATTTCCAGTACAATGAACACCCTTCAGGTTGCCAGCAACTTTTTTTGCAAATTGAGCTATCTCTTTTAATATATGGACAGATAAAACGTCTCAAACTATCTCTTTTAACATATTGATCAGTTGAACACCCTATTCAAAGTATTTTAATGTATAACGTATAAAACCCATTTCACTTTTTATAGAAATATATTTAATATAAAACCAATTTAAATCTTTTTAGGCTTTAATAATATATTATGTATTGGAGATACTATTCGAAATATTGCTTATAACCTCTCATATTTCATGAAACTCTGTATAAATACTAACAAATTTTTTTACTTATATTTTTATATATAGTATATAAAAATCAATTTAAACTTTTTCAAATTATTTTGTAATATTATAATTGAACATATATTGACACTGTATATCATATCAATATTATATAAAAATATACACCGAAGACCTAGAATATAACAAAGAGATGATTACCTCAGATAAGTTATTCAAATTAGCTAGGCGATCGAAAAAACCAAAAATCTAAAACCCTAAAACTAATCGTATGATTGTAATCGATAGACCAGCATATAATGTTTTAATACGCGATGGTTATATGTATTGGAAAGAAGAAAAAGTTTTAGTTCCTCCAATTCATGAAACATTAGTATTAGATAAATAGTTTATATTCATATCTAATCATATTTGGGATATTGCACACAATCAAGAAAAAAGTTTACTTTCATTAATTGATAAAAAAACAAGTTTATTACAAGTATTACTCAAAGTATATAATGATTATGCTATATGTAAGTTATTAAAAAAAGACTGGAATAGCAGAGAAACTTGAGAATAGAGAAATGATATACTTGCAAAATTTTTCAATCATCCAAATTTAATTCTATCGAAGCATAGACCAAATGCATTATATGATGCATTTATAAAGAGCAATGTTTTAGAGCCAGATCATATACTTGTTTTAGCCCAAGCATTGTAAAAAATAAAATGATAAAACCAAATAATGTTACTATAACCTGAGTCTCTACAACTCGAAGCTATAATTTTTTTCATTATATCCTATATGTTAGTAAATTTTAAATCGACATCCTACTCACCCTATAGGTATACATAACCTTTTTTTTCTAGGTATAGGAGAAAAAAGCGTAATTAATTTCAAATTGAAAAAAATAAGTAGGTTAATGTATAATCACATTCTACTTATTGATATAGATTATTTACATATCTATTATGACAACTGTCCAAAAAACTAGAAAACCCAAAACTAATAGCTTTACCTCCATTTTGGATCAGGTCCTCAATAAATATAACCTATCGGCTGAATCAAACCCACTTCAATTACATGCTCATACTGATAAGCTTAGTACTATGCTACTAGATTAGAAAGCTCGTAAAGATGTAAAAGAGGCTCTCCGTCAGCACTTATTCAAAGAAAATCAAATAGAAGCTCTGGTTCTAAACAACAAAAAGAAAAAGCTTACTATCAAGGAAAGAGCTCAATATTGTGCAAAAACTAAAGATGTGTAGAATATTTGGTTACATGCTTTAGACTTAGCTGTGCCAAAAAATAATACAGATGAAGCAATTGTGGCAGCCAGTTCTTGTGTTTCACAATTTCATAGAGAGTTAGCAGAAGCTAGAATTGGTTCTGAGGAAATTTATTTATATGCCAAATTACCAGAAATTAGTCGAGCTTCTAACGAAATTCAAAAGAGGCAACTCAAACAATGATTACTCAATCTATCTAAAACTCCCAAACACTTTTTCTTAGAAGAAGGACTTAGAAGAATTCAAAATATCAATACTACTAAAATCCCTACTATGCAAGATCTTGCAGATGTAATTATGATGTT